CAAATGGCAACCTTGAAAGCCAATAAAGCTCAAAGACATGGGTCACAACACAAGACATGTAAGAAACAGTCAATATCGGGCGATGGAGTGATGAAGCTGAAAAAGAAATCTGCTGAAATTGGCCTTGGAGTTGCCCTCAACACAATGGAATCCAAGGTTTTGAAAAGCAACAAGTCAGTCAAGGCACAACCTCCATTGATCAAGAATTCAAGCAAATGTGTTTCGACTAGTTCAAACAAGGAAGATAAGAAGAGTGAGGGAGAAGGCATGAGACAGCAGTTCTTGTTTTTCTGTGAGATGTGTCATACAGGAGCTTCTACTGATAAAGTTATGAACACGCATATTACAGGGAAAAAACATCTGAAAAACCTTCTGAAACTTCATCAAGGATCTGGATCCCAAGCTGCTGCTGCTCCTGGAACATAAAAGACTTGTTAGTCCATGGAGAAACACAAGTTGAAAGTATCAAATCCGTGGTGGTGGACATACAGTCGATCTGAGGAAAGGTGAAATCTTTCTGGAGTCCAGAAACAGTTTAGTGCAGGTTGATCTTCAAAACTTTCCGTCTATATAAAAACCCACTCTTTGTGAACCTGGTTTGGTGGTTTATTCAGGTTGTTTTTGGTTTCATGGTATGAACATTAACATTTTATGGGGTAAATTGGAAGTCCAATTAAGGATTAACAAACAATTGGTGTTTTGTCTTATGTATGATCTTGTGTGAGTAGAACGAAAATATGCATGCTTTAACAGTACAATACAAGAGTGAAAAGAAGTATAATTACTCTCGTTTAAGTAGTGAAAATAACATAGTAAACAAATGAGTGTTTCAACAACTTTGGAAAAATATGAAGTACGTTTCGACTCTTATTATTATGTCGTCTTGGTATATTTAAATGGTTATATGTTTGCGTAAGTATTATGTTATTATTATGTCGTCTTGGTATATTTAAATGGTTATATGTTTGCATAAGTATTATGGGACATTTCAAAAATTGATCGTGACAACCAACAAATGTGGTGTCTGATTGGTTTGAGCTTGGCTCCAAAGATCAAAAGTATCAGGAGGTTCCGGTTCAAATTCAAGGAAGAACAAAAATATTCTTGTGGCCACGGAGGTTCAAATACGGTGATTCTAGGTTATCTGCAAAGCAGGTGGTTGTCCTGGGATTAGTCGGCTCGCATAGCGGGTTGGATATCCAGGTTAATAATTTTTTTATTATCGTGACTTGATTTTTCTAATGAACATAAATGAAAGACATAAAGAGAGGTAGGACTAGAAGAATACAAATCACTTTGTCAGCTCTTCACGTATTCATCAACCTCTTACACTTGTAGAGAAGAAGGTTGAAGGAAATTTTTAATAATTCAAGGGGTATCCAAAAGAAATATTTAAATTGTTGAAGGTTAATACGACAAAATAATGAAAATTATGCTTAATAAAACCCTGGATCCTGGTTATCGTGCTGCGTGCGTGCCTTTTTCTCCGCAGCCTTGCCTGCCTGCCTGCCTGCTGTTCACTCCGCTTCGCCATTGAAGAACCCTCTGGTAATTCTCGTCATCTTTATTCGAATGATTAATTGAACGTCCATATGCTTCTGTTTTCTATTCATATAACTATTTGAGAATCCCAATTTGTTGCTAATTCCCTACTCAATCCAATTTGCAATACAAGAGTGGAGGGTTTTAGTCTTCGGTACTTAATAAGGGATGTTTATTATTGAGTTGATTACAATTTAATGGTTGGAATCTAATCTTGAGACGAGAATGTGTTTTCGTACGCAGATTCATGAAATATTTGTTACTCGCACCGTTCCTATAAGAAAGAGTTGCAATTTGGCTTTGAAAAATCAAATTGATTACTTTGCGAGATTGGAATTGTTGTGGATTTCAAACCTTTTGAGGAAATATGATAGCTAGGTTAGATTTCACAAGCTCTGCACATTGAAAATTTTGGTAACAAAGTTCATTTCACTTTTGTTATTGGGAAGTGCTAATTTTGACATCAGTGAATGTGAATGTAGCTTTTCATGATACTGGTTGGAGCTTTAAAGATGATCATGTTCATCCTAGATTTATAATTTATTTGTTCTTGGTATCTGCATGACTGAATTGTATGCTTCCTTGGGTTCATAAAGGTAAGTTGCTATAACTATTTAACATTTAAATGCAAAAATTTAACAAATTTGTAACATATTTAAGTCTACTTCTATTGTCTGTTATGCAATTGTATGTAAGTTTCGAAAATCATAACAATTTAGAAATTGAAATGCAATCCTATAAAGTCAAAGTGGTGTTTTTCTATAACTGTTTCCTTCTTTGGACAGTGGGAGTTCGGATTTCTCTGATTTTGAAACCTCCTCCATTGGATAGTTACTAGTATACTCTATTCTTTACCAGCTAATATTCCAAATGTTAGTGTGAACCAAGTAATGCTGTCTGATGAAAAATAGTAAAGCAGCTAGGTACTGCTGTTTGGTTGAGTAATACGATGTTAAAACAGACGAAATTTATACCATTTGGTAGTCAAAATGACAGTTCTACATGGTCACAGCTTTTACGAATTTGCATTTTCTGTAAAAATCTGCATAATCATGAAAAGTTACCAACCATATACTAGGTAATAGTGATTGGAAACAATTATTGAGTTCGAGGGGACTCCTTTTCATGGAATAGAGGGAATGATGTACATATGATGATGTTGCTTCTTATGATATTTTTTAGAGCATGTAACGTCAACTATACTACTTCTCCTCAGATACTTAAAGAGCATGTTCTGTGTAAGATATTTTTGCTTTGTTGAATCAAGCATGTTTTAGTTATTGTAGTTCTAAAAGGAAATTAGGCTACTATTAAGAGGGAACTTGACAGATTTGTTTGTTTATTGCTGTGAGGCTTGTATGACAGCAATTCTAAATGGATTTAAGATTTTCGCAGTGGCACAAGTCCGGTAATTGCAGCTTGATTGTTTTATATACTTGTGCCGTTTTCTGTAGCTAACATTTCTAAATTGCCAAAATATGTTACAGTTTTTAGTTTCCACTTCTTATAGCTCCTCTCCTTATATTCATTCTCTTCCAAAGCAATTAATTTTATTTTCATGCACTTTACTATGATGGTTGCAAGTTAAATTATTATTTTGTCTGTCTATAGAAACAAAACAACACTCTTAAACCCTCAACTATGTGCAGATACATCTAATTGCAAACACAAAAGTAGGAAGATGCAGTTTGTTTGATGTGTATTTTGGCTGGTGATCTGCCGCTGAGTCTTCAAAGTTTGATATCCAACCAACCAACTGCCAAATAGTACAAGTCTGTATATACATGTAATTATACATGTGTGCTATGCTGTCAAAATCGTGATATATCGCCGATATATCGGCGATATATCGGATATCGCTCGGAAAAAAAATATCGGAACTCATATATCGGACAAAATATCGGGAACGATATTATCGGCGATATTTTCCGATATTTAGCGATATTTGGCGATATTTTAAGGTAAAAATCGGGCCGATATACCGATTTTATAGTTCTTACAACATCGAGTCTTCGACTTCTTCTTCTTCTCACAACGTTTCTCTTTTCTCGGCCTCTCTTCTCGATCTCCTCTGCTTTTCTCTGTAATCGACACAACATAGCCAGCGTCTGATGGCAACGGGGCGGGGATGGAAGAAGGTCGATTGCTGGTCTGCTGCTCACTCTACCGGCCGTCGCTTACAAGGGTCAAGGGGGGAAGGAAGGCGATGGCGGTCGATGGTAAGTGGTAGGCGGTACGGTAGCTGTCGCTTAGAAATACAAGTGCTCCAGGCCAGTCCAAATTTCAAAAAGCCCAAGCCCAAATGACTAATTAGACTATTAGACTAACAGTTTGCCCAAATGACTAATTTTATTATTTATTAGATGATGTAATATTTTAATTTTGAAACTATATTTCTAAACTCTAATTAATGCATATTATATATAATTCTAAGATATATTATGTTAACCGTTATTTTGGACCGATATATCAACGATATATCACCGATATAACCGATATATCGAATATCGGTCCTGACCGATATTTCGTATTATGACCGATATAACAGCATAGCATGTGTGTATTGGATTTTATTTAAGGTGCAGAGGCTCAATAAGAAATTAAGAATTTTTGGAAGTGAAAATACCCAGTCTTGTCTCACTCTCTCTCCTGTCTTTATGTCCCGGCGTCGTGTTGCACTCTTTCTCTATTCTTTGCAACCCTAAAGCTTCAATCAGATCAGACCTTCTCCAAACCATGGTCTTCTTCCCCACTAGCCACAATCAGACCGAACCCTTTTCTTCAAATCAGATCAGACCCTAAAGCTTCAAATTTCAATATATTTATAAGCAGTAAAATTTATATTGCTAACTGTAAGACCATTTTCATACATCATAAAACTTCTACTTCCTCAAATATGTCATAGCATGCCTTCGTTGTCTTTCATTTTGCTCCAATTCCAGATTTTTCCTGTATTAGGTGTGCCTTATTTTGCATTATATTCATAATAGTTACCCTTGTGATTTCAGAGTTTTAAGAATGGAAAATACCCAAGAATCGGCAGAAAATCAGATTAAAGAAATTCAAGTAGAAAAAGAAACCTGTGAGGAGATGCTTTCAAGGCACAGGTACACTGTTTCCAAACACTCGCCCCTTCTTGCAACTTACTTAAAGATCGTTCAACAAGTATACTATGCTACTTACTACGTCTAGAGGTACAAGATGTTGCGACTTACCAAGGAAATCAACAGGAAAGAGATCACCCAGCTACAGAACAAGGAAATTGCACTTAAAAAGGTGGCAGCTAAAGGCAGCAAGGCTGAGCAAAAAGCCAAGAAGAAACAAGTGGAGGAACAAATCTCTCAACTAACTACTGAGCTCAAAGAGAAACATGTAGCCGAACTTGCTTCTGTAGGCTATGCTAGTAGCACTACTAGCGGAGAAGGCAAAGAAAACAATATTGAAATTTTAGCGAAAGCCATAGCTGGGGTCTCTGTTACCAACCAAACCGAGCACTCGAAGCCCAGTAAGAGTGCAAAAAGAAAAGAGAAAAGAGCCCAAGAAGAAGCAGCCCGAGAACAAAGAATACAAGAAGAACAAAGCAACATTGTAAGTGACAGAATGGTTGAAAACGAAAAATTGGAGAAAAAGCTTGAACCTCTTGGCCTGCTAGTGCATGAAATTAAACCAGATGGGCATTGTCTCTACCGAGCTGTTGAAGATCAATTGAAAATCAGAGGTTCACCATTTTACACATTCCAAGAACTTAGAAAAATGGTGGCTGATTATATGAGGAAGAATTCATCGGATTTTCTTCCCTTTTTCCTATCAGAAACTGTTGCAGACGGAGGTTATGACGATTCTGTTGTAGAAAAGAGGTTTGAGAGTTACTGTAATGAAGTGGAATCAACAGCAGCTTGGGGTGGACAGCTCGAGCTTGGTGCTTTGACTCATTGCTTGAAGAAACATATCATGATATTTTCTGGATCTTTTCCTGATGTGGAAATGGGGAAGGAGTACAAATCCGGGGATTCTTCAGAATCAACTATTATGCTGTCATACCATAAGCATGCATTTGGGCTCGGTGAGCATTATAACTCTGTCGTGCCCGTTTGAAAAGCTATCTGAAAAGGTTGGGTAACTTATCATACTTGAAATTAATACCTTCTCTTTCATAATTTTTGTTATCTAATGACAATATAAACCATGGGTAACCCTTAAAACTTGACTTTTTGGTAGTCTTGTTCTGTTTCCGCTCCTGAATTTGAATTTGTATCACGCAAATAATATGATTGCTATCACAATTCTTGAATGGCATGTGAAGTATGGTGTTTGCTTTTAGTGCATGATACATGTGTTTTGACTTTGTTAATATATTCACTTGAGGACTTGTTCATCATCATTCTTATGAGCATGTAAAGCATGGTATTTTCTGTGAACCCATGAATGATAACTGTAGTTTGACTTTGTTTCAGAAATGTCATATATATTGACTTGCCAATTATGGATGCATTCCCTTTTTTCCTTGGGGGGATTTGGACCTTGGCTCTTGCTCAAAAGGAATAAATAGAATACCAACATATTACATCATTCTTTATTAGTTATCATTTGAACAATTTAAATGTTAAATTTGCATTTACAATCCAACTTACAACTTAGCAAGGAAGTTTATGGTGGTTTGGACTTTGGGCATATTTGCACAAGTCGAATGTCGGTTCCAGGTGGAAAGTGCGAGGCCGAGGGGGTGAGGAGAAGCAGGTTGAGGAGAATGTGGAAGAACACGATGGTCTTGGGCATTCCCAAGAACATGACATTTTACGAGTTCTTGGAAACACAAAAATGAGTAGCAGACTACCAAGTGTAATATCTTTTTTTCGGATAACTGCTAATGTCCGGACCAATTTACAACCTCTCAGTTAACCCTAGGGATCACGGTCAGGAATATCTCCAATGGTCAAAAGGAGACTCGAATCGAATTGGCACCATCTGTTTCCTTTTACGTTTTAAATGATCATACTTATTAAAGGTTTGCATGCATCTCATTACAGAATCGAGACATACTTCCAAACTCGATATAATGAATTATCGAGTTTGATTGTTAAAAGTTTGATTTATCGTAATCTTTTTTCTAATTAAAAAAAACCACATTATCACAAGCGTTTACAATCAAACATGATGTAAAAGACACTTTTCAATCAAGAATGAGGACAGACAAATAAAACTTGTAACAAAAAGATCAAAAAAACTTCTTGTTTAAACAAAGGATTGATAAAGCAGCATATACATGATTATGATTCCTCATCCTTCATATAGTTTCCATGTCAAAAACCAAAAACTCACTAACCCCACAAACTTTTCTTTACATAAGATCATTACTGTCAAAGATCAATATAACCCATAACCGATGACCAAGTCAAAATCGATTTTACCTAATTAACCTTCCGTTCATACCCTTAACGCCACCGGATCTTGCCACGAGATCTTCCTCTTCCCTGATCGACTCGTTGAACCATCCCCAACATTTCTACACATAGATAGCTTTAAATCATTATGCTGCTCTTTCCTCTGCTCCTCATACCCTTCTTGCACATCTTCTTCTTCCATCTAACAAAACAGAAACCATTAGAACTGGTGACTACTGGGTTAGTTTTAGGGTTTATCAAAGTTTCTGTTAACTTACTGATATCTGGTTCAGGTCGAATATAGGAGCTCGAGCTTGAACCACAACTTCTTTCTGATTGAACTCATTCACTAGAGACAAGTTGTTTCCCACAACTTCTTGGTTTAGATTGACACCATGCAAATTTACCCTTTGATCCAAGTCATATACAGGAACTGGTCTACTTGGAACCATGTTTTTCTTCTCTGTGTACCCTCTTCCCCTTTGGTTTAGGTTGTGAATAGGGGGCAAATTGGGAAAAGTTGCAGACTTTTTCGGGTAAACCTTCTCCTTCTTGTTTTTCCTGAATTGGGTGGTTTCCACATTCTGTGATTTCAGTTGTTGTGAAGTTGATGATTTGGTTTTCAATAGAAATTTGTGCCTTCGCCTCAAGAATCTGTGGTAACCAAGAACAAGAATTCAATTCTTGAAGATCACGAATTTAAACATCTTGAAGGCTGAATGCACATGAAGTTGATATAGAACTGAAACTGAATTCTTCATGTAAAGCAGTTGTGTTAATTGAGATAGTGATATCATACCTAACTTCAGCTTCTAAAGTCTGTTTCTTTTGCTTCATGGCTTCCAATTTGTTTCTTGCAGCCTCTGTTTCCTGCAAATTCCATAAAATATATTCGAAATTGGTAACTTAAATCTTCCAAGATCACAAAGTATCATAACAAAAGACTTATAACCCTCATGTAGTTGGAAAAACAACAAAGATTAACCAAGAAAATTATGCTCATCACTTCTCAATTCGTTATTCCATCTCCTAATGCCAATCCCAACCCTAACCCCAAATAGTTTGAATATAAACATCAATTGAAGAAACCCAGATGCAGGAACAAGAAATATATCCAGAAAATCAAGGGGAAACATGGATCAAAGAGATCAAATTCGATTGTTGAAGAAAAAGATAAAAGAGTTTTTACAAGAATCTTGAAAGAAAACAATAGATCTATACAAAGGCAAACCATAAAGATCATCTACGCAATCCTGGGCATAAAGATCAAGGAATAACAGATATCGCAGCATATAATCAAACAACAAGAACCCTATTGAAAATCAAAAGAACCCAACCCTAAAAAGAACCCAAAAACGATTATACAATTAGATCAAAAAGCAAAATAGAGAAAAAGTATGTAGATTTTTACCTGTTGCAACTCTAGGTAATCTTGGAGAAGGGTTTGATGCTTAAATCTTGCCCTAACATCCTCGTAAGACACATGAGAAGATGATTCATAAGCAATCCCTTTCATTATCTTACTCATCAGATCTCAACTTTCTTGAAAATCGCACTCTGGAAAAGAGATCAATTGATAAAAGAATAGAGAGAGAGAGAGAGGCAAAGCCTACTTCAAGAAGAAAATAGGAATAGAGAGAAAGAAAGGGAGGGAGGGGGAGATAGATAGGTGTGGTGAAGAAAGACTTAAAGGAAAGAAAGATTAATGGGTGTGGGGGTGAGAAGGTTCTTGCTTTTCCTGTTTTCTCTGTTGTTCGTGACGAAACTCTGACCAAATACAAAGCCCCAAAAAGCCCACATATATCGGTTCGTTTGGTAGACAATGGAGTGATGAAGATGGAGATTTTTGGGGGGTTGCAGAAGGGCATTTGTGGCACAACCATAATTAATTGGTCTGTATGTGAAATTTGTTTTTGTGCGTGTGTGAGGTGGGTTTGGTTGGAGTTTGAAGACATCTCCTCTTTCTCTCTCTCTCTCTCTCTACCCCTGATGATTTCTTTCTCTCTCTATCTTTCAAGACTCTTTTTTACATAAATTTTGGTCCAACTGGGCCATTGAAGAGACAGAGAGGATAGGTGGTGTATGTGGACTCTTCTTTCTTTGTTTTCAGATGATGGGTGTGCCAAAGTTTCCATTTTTCTTCCCTCTTCTTTGTGGGTGTTGTCTGTTTGCAGTATAAACTAAACGTGTGTGTGGATTGAGGTATATGATGCAAGACAGAAAGAAGCAGAAAAAGAAATCAATTAAAGAAAAAATATCTTTTTATATAGAGAAAGGCCATGAGATAAGATTAGTTGGAGAGAGACATACATATGCATATATATATATATATATATATATATAGAGAGAGAGAGAGAGAGAGAGAGATGAGTGCTGTGTCTTCTGATGTGGTGCAGTTGTTGGTAGTACCTTGTTTTTAGGCCTGGGTTTCCTTACCGACTGGTTTTTTAAAAATTTGATTTAGATTGTGATTGTGATTGTGATGGTAACCCTTCCACAATTACTCTTTTACCCTCCTTGTTATTTTCCCTGCACTTCTATCTTTTAAAGATTCCTCCATTTGGATTTTGGTCTTTATTATACTGCAGAACACCTGATGGAGTGATGGACAATGGAGTCATGAGTCTTCTGAGCATCTGGTGTGCCCACTATACCCAAGGGTAAAAAGGTAATTTCCTTAATCACGTAAGATACAGGTCCATTCTTTAACTCTCTGGTACTGGGTAATCACTGTATGTATATCTTGCTACCAAATAATAATGGCCGAGTAAATCAGCAGTGGAAGGAAGGTGGCCAAAAAAGAAAAGTAAAAAGGAATCTTCTTTCCACCAAATGGCCACTTAACCCAGCAACACGAAAGGGTATTTTGGTAAATTTAACATCTTCTTCATTTCTGATGTCTTGATTTATCCACCATGTCTGGCACTTTCTTAGCAAAAAGTCAAACCAAGTTGAACAGTTTAGGGGGAGAGAAGGAGAAGGTGGAAATAACTGGGGTAAGAAAAGAGAAGAAAAATTGTTGAGGGGTTTCATTACAATTTTGTACAAGTCTGTGGTCACAAATCACAATCTTTTTTCTTCCCCAAAGAAATATCTTTTTAGGCCTTATATTATCGAAGGAATTACATTTTAGTCCTCATATTTCTATGTATTCTACATTTTAATCCTCATTGTGATATACCATCAGAAACAACTTCCACTACCAACCATCATCTTCGTTCCTGTTGCACCATGGCGACCTATAAGAACTACCATTGTGACGTTGAAGATAGTCTTCAATGTGGGGGGATCATCTCCCGCATAGGAAGGAAAAGCAAAAAGTTGGTCACTTTATAAGCCAAATAAGTTATAATATAGTTATACGAAGAGTTGGCCTGAATTGCTAGTTTTGGGCTATACATACAAAGTTTTTGCGGTCAAAGGATAGCATCGAAAACTAATTAGCCTTAACCCAACCTCATCCAAAGAATAGTCATGTTGAATTATTTCACATCTTATTTATACTATAATATAAAAATCAGGTTTATAGGACACCAAAAATATCTAAATATCCTGATAGACTTGATTCATTTTACGATATGATTTAGTTCAACTCGATAAAGGATATGTATAAAGTAGGCACCAGTGGCGGACGCAGAAAAATATATCGTAGGGGGCACTATACTCCAACCAATTAGCATATTGATCAAACCAAGTCGGACAAAAGCGTCTTCCTTTACTCCCGACAAATTTTTTTGGAAATGCATGACCCCGTGGTTGACAAAATTAACCTAATCTAAAGCATTTACCATTTACCAAATCACCAATAAGCAAAAACAACTACAAAATTAACCTAATCTAAAGCATTTACCATTTACCAAATCACCAATAAGCAAAAACAACCTACAAAATTAACCTAATCTAAAGCATTTACCATTTACCAAATCACCAATTTTGTAAATTAATAACAATAACAAGATAAATACCTAAAGTAAAACATTTACCAATTACCACAAAATTAACCTAAAATACCTAAAGTAAAGCATTTACCAATAACCAATTACAACAAAATTAACCAACAAAATTAACCTAAAATACTTAACCTAAAGCATTTACCAATTACCAATTTACCACAAAATTAACCTAAAATCACCACAAACCCACAATATAAAATTTAACCTAAAATACTAGACGAAATTGAAATTGGAAATTATAATTTTAGTTGTTTAGTGTTTACCCAAGAGATGAATGAAGAGAAGTCTAGAAGAAGAGCCTCTGGGCTCTGCTCCTCTGCCGACTGCTTAGGGCCCAAGAAGTAGAAAGCTTGCACTTGCACTGTTGCTGTGTTGCACACAGCCACACAGTCGGACCGGTGAGAGGCGGTGCAGGCGAGGCGGCGGCACAGCGCAGCGGCACGACACAGCACAGCGCACAGCCTCGCAGTCGCAGATGGCAGATTCGAAGTCGCAGTCGCTAGACCTAGACGCCTCACGCCTAGACGCACGGTATTCAATTTCAGGCATGTCTTCACAGCTTCACTCTTCTTCACTCCCTTCGGCCTTCATTCACAATCACAATTCACAGATTCACAACTCGTTTCTTGGTCTTGGCTGAAGAGGGAGGGGCCTCCTACCTCATCTTGTTGGGGGCCCAATTACACCAAATCTCAAAATACAAGTAAAAAAAAAATATTTGGGCTTTCATATAAGATTTTTGTTGGGGGCCCAGGACCCCAACCCCTTCTTACTGCATCCGCCCCTGGTAGGCACAACCAATTCATGATTTAGTTCAATTTTTTTACAATCAAAATAAATTATTGAAAAAGTATCTGATCAAATTAATCAAACCTGATTGTTGGTGGGAGGATAACGTGGCGTAGTTTTTATTGAGTGACTGATAACAAAATAATTGACAAGAAGCTTAATTTAATGTCTTTATGCAACTGTACCCCCATTAATATCAGGCCCTCTAATGGAGCATACATAATTTTTTGTACCGCCCTTTGAAGATGATGTTGAATGGTTTATATGCTTCAAAAGCTTCTTCAATCCCAAGGTAACTCATGTGGTTGCATTATTGAGATTGAAAAACATATCGGTGAAAAGCCTTGGAGCTTTTGCATCTAAAGAATAGACAATTTTATTGTTATAGAGAAGTAAGATTTCCTGAGGGAGTGTTTCCCTTAACATAATGGTTGAATTGATGAATATTATGAACCTTTCTTATATACCGTTTCGCCTGTCGTTCTTGTTTCCTTTTATGCACATGATGAGGTTGTCAACGGTATGTCACATGTTGAAGTAACAAACAATGTTGAGTTGATTCTCAAGCCTATGATAGTGTATATGCTTCATATGGTGGTGAACTTATTCAGTCTCTCGATGATTTTCCATCATATTTCAACTAATGTTGTTTCCAACAGGAGATCTTCTAGATTGCATAAAGTTCCATCGTACTTGAAGGATTAGCGTTGTAACATGGTTCATGATAGACACAATGTTTCAAATCCTCTATCAAATCATTTAGGGTATGATTATTTATCTTATGAGTAGAAGGCTTTTGCTTTGGCCATAACAATTAATGTCGAACCAACTACTTATGCACAAGATATTGAAAGTAAATAACGGGGGTACAACAATGAAAGATGATCTTAATGTTGGAGTACGGTACGGGAGTCATAAACTCAAGGAAAAATAGTTGTATTCCTCCAAGAGTACTACGAAACGGAGTAGGATAGGTGTTTGTTGTGGATATTTCACTACCCTAAAAATTCAACGCAAAAATAGACCTTGTGTGATAACCGGGTTCTGGTTATGCTTTTAAGGTAAAATCTATGTGACTATTATTTGATTATGTGAAAATATGCATATTTATATATGAGAAAATAAGTATGCATGAGATTGATAATATGCATATGTGTATGCATGATTCATATTATTAACATGCATGAAGTTTCGAAATATGCATGTATGTGTGCATAAATTATAAGTATGCCGATTTGGGGAAGTGTGTGTGTATATGTACAAGATATTTGTGGAAAAAGAGTTTTATTATGTTTCTTCAAACACCGCCTCTTTTTGAATGGATTAAGAAGAAGAAGCTATTTTATAGTACTTTACTCAAAACCGCCTCTTTTGGGCAATTTGAAAAGAAAGTTTTCTTTTGAAGAGGGTTATCTTGAAATTTAATAAAGAAACCAGTGAGAGAGAAAGTGTGAGGGTTTTCTTCTTTAAAGTTAGAAGCTAGAATTTGGTGTTTGAAGTTAAGCAGTTTTGGTTGTTGTTTCTATTTGGTTTAAGGTCAGTTTACTTTAAAAGAACAACCTTTGAAGTTATTAAGATTATATGTTTTGTAGAACTGCTGATATAACTATGCAGTTGATATATGTTTATTTATTTGGAAATTTAACTGTTGACAAGAACCTGTATTTAGACAGGGTTGTCTGATGAGGATTTATTGTTGATCAAAGTTTTATCTGATAAAAAGTGGTTTACGGACGGTATTGTCCGATGAAAGTATGTTTAAACCTTTTGGGATTAAAAGAGTATTTTTGTATCTTTCAAATGAGGTTATAAATCTGGAAAAGATATTATTTGGCTTTTCTTTCAAGACGGTTGTGACATGAGGTCTGGTTTGAAAGAAATGAGTTTTTCAAATGTTTCTTCAGGACAGTTGTGACTTTGGTCTGTTCTGATTTGAACAATGTTTCTATGGGACGGTTGTGACTTTGGTCTGTTCCCGTACGAAACTATTTTGAGAATGTTTCTACGAGACGGTTGTGACTTCGGTCTGTTCTATTATGAAACTAAATGAGTTTTCAATGTTTCTACGAGACAATTGTGACTTCGGTCTGTTTCGGTAAGGAACCATTGTTAGGCCATTATTGGCTAAAACTACAGATGATGTTCTTCAAGACAGTTGTGATTTCGGTTTGTTCTGATTAGAAATTATGTTTCCACGGGACGGTTGTGACTTCGGTGAGTTTCGGTACGAAACTCTTCATCTGTAGATTTGAGGAGGAAATAAGGGTGACATATCAAGGAGAGGTATCATAGGATAAGGGTGACATATCAAGGAGAGGTGTACACCTGGATAAGGGTGACATTTGGATAACTTTAGTTACTATATCAACAAGAGATAAGAGCTCTGGGTTAACATTTCTTTGTGACTTGGGAACCTAGAGATATTGTTCCTATTGAAATAATAGCATAGATGTTATTGAGAAGGGAGAAATCGGCTCTTAGCCAGAGGCATTATTTGCCTACGGTTTC